TGTCTCAAGTTGGCAAACGTCAACTGAGCCTTTTGTATGCTAGCTGACACTTCATTCGTGATGTGTCCACCGGGTGAGATGCACTTGCCCAAATAACAAAACTTATCCATCTGCTCCATTATTTCCCCATTTAGAGTGAGACTGGGTGCTTTATCAACCCAATCTAGTAGCAACCTTTTACACTTTGAAGATACAAAACGCATATTGAACATAGCTACACTAGTACCCAAACCATCCAGAAAAGCTTAGTAGTACAATGTCCATTGTATACATAAAACATAATAATCCAAATCAAACTACCATCTGGGCCTTCCTTGCTCAGGTTTCTTCTGTATCCTGCGTTGACATTACAGCTACCACAGTTAGCAGTGGTGGTCCGGTGGCAACGTCACCAATTATCACCTCGAAGGACGTGTTTGAATCCCACCACCACCGCCAGTCTTTCCCTATTATGTGTTGTATGGCAACTGTTTGATCGGTCGTTTCCCCCTTCCTGAAAATTGTATCCTTGTATACTCAATAAAAGGAAGTAAAATGCAAAATTGAATGGAATACTCCAGCCTCCTCAATCGCTCTTTAGCCTAAACCCCATATTCTTCCTCGTGACCGTCATTACCATACAAAGAGAGTTGCACCTCGACATCTGTTGAAGAAATCTTAGATTTCATCAGCCATCTCAAGTGATGGAAGGCTCCCGATGAGGATAGGGTAACCGGGGAAATATACGCAAGGTGCTCTACAGCCAGCTTACTACGCGCGATTCGGGAAACTGAATTTTTTTTCAACTGAAAGCATCACATAGACTTAACTGTTTTATCCGATGTTTACCGAGGCAGTTAGCGGTTGAAAAAGGTCGAGGGTGGTCCAACGAAGACCTGGAGTGAGGGTATGAAACCCTAACCAGGAGAGTGGGTCACAAAGGTCCTGTTAAGATACCTGGCTGGAGACCCCGAGATCATTATTCATGCAACCTCTGTCAATATGAATTCTGTATCTTCCGCTTGAATTTGCTTTCAACATTCCAGTCTTCATTCTGCTCTTTCATCCAAATGGGTGGCCAAAAGACAGCAAACAAAACCGGTGCACGAAAGTGCATGGTTATTAGTTGTAAAAACTGAAACTCACTATCCTTCCGCAAAAAAACGGGCAACAAGGCACAGTGCGAAAAGTACATCTGTATTAGGTTATTCGACCTAGCAGCACGGCAGCGGGTGAAGCGAAGTGGAGACCCATTTACTTGGACCGAGTATTCCACCATTTCTTAACGACTGAAAGGCAAATTCTACTCTAACCCCTAACCTGGAGGACCAGGAAACTGAACTTCGACCTCTACCCTTCGACCTTCCAGGCATGACAAAAGCCATCCTGTGTAGCTCATTGGGTCACAGGGATGCACACTCCATCACACCACGCCAAAGTGCAGTCTCGTCACCGCTGTATCAGCGTATGAAGCCGTATGAGATTAACACTACTTCGTTTATTGGCTGTTCCCTTTGCCGTAGTCCCATTTTTTGACATGAAGGGAATTACAGTAAACGGGGAAATCCTCATGGGCAAATAGCATACCGTAAAGGGGAGGGTAAAGGAAACATTCACGTAAGATCCAATTTATTGATTCTGTTTTTAAAGTGTGAGATTGTAAGTTGGGGGAAAAATAGCAAATGGGAGGGTGTTCCACAGTTTGGCAGTTCGGGGAAAAAAAGAAGATTGGAGTAGAGAGGTACGACATCTGGGAACAGAAACCTGATAAGGATGACTAGATGCCTGTGTACGAGATGGACGGGAAAAAGTTGCAGGAAGAGGAACTGCCGAGGTAAGTTCCGAAGAACAAAAACCAAAGTAGTAACGGTAGCAGAGGGACAACGAAGCAACTGCCCGACGATGGGCTAGCGACTGCAGACTGGATGTTAGGGAAGGATCGTCGATTAGCCGGATGGCCTTTCGTTGGACACGATCAAGAAGGGAAAGGGAAGACGACGAAGCTCTACCCCACACGTGACTACAGTATTCAAGAGCAGGGCGGATTTGAGCTTTGTACAATAGAAGATGAGCTGGGGTGAAAAAACGTCTGGCGCGAAATAGGAATCCAACTTTGCGCGCAGCACGAGAAGCGAGCTTGGTTATAAAAGGGGGCCAGCATAAAGAAGAAGTAATAGACAGTCCAAGAAGGAAAACAGAGTCTGTGGAACGCAGTTGGGTGGAATGAAATGATAACTGGAGTGAGAACGAACGGTGTTTTAAAGAAATTGAAAGAAAAGATGTTTTGGAACTATTGAACGAAACGTGGTTTGCAATGCCCCACGAG